ATATAAGTATTATATATTATTAATTTCTTATTTATTATTATTAATTTTATATAATTATAATTTATTATTTAAAGATATTATATCTGTTTTGTAATTTTAAAAAAATAATAATAACTATCATAATAAAGATTAAGTTTTAAATATATGATATCTGCTCTTGAATTAGTTTTCTGTGTAAATACTATTTTAATTACTTCATTATATCTTGAATTTTCTATGTGAATTTTCCTGATAAATTATATTATGTAACTAAAAGATTATAATTATTAATTATTAATTAATAAAATCAATTAATTTATTTATAATTAAAAAAAAAGTTAAAGATAAAATATTTATTAATAAAATTAAAAATTTTTATATATAATAAAATTTAAATAAGTTTTAAATTTTAAAATTAATTTTTTATATAAATAAAAATATTAATAAAAAAATAATCAAATATAATATATAATTACACTTTTTTAATTATACTCTCTTAAAGAGTATATGTTATATAACTTTTTCTTATTATATAATATATTTTGATTTTAGTTTATAAAAGCTTTATATATTTTACTTTTTATAAATATATACTTCTCATTTTTTTATTATAATTCCAATAAAGTATACTTAAAAAAAATATAATTATATTAATAATTTTTAACTTGAATTTTTTAATTTAAAATTTAATATTTTTAATAAATAACTTATTATATTATTCAATATTTTTTATTATTATATAAAAATACTTAATTTAATATAGTATTTTTAATTATTTCAAAAAGAATATATCAAAAAAGGTTGAATTTTTTTAATTAATAAAATTTATTCAGTATGAAAATACATATAATATAATTAATATTAAATATTTATATTAATTATATATAAAAATTTATCTGTAATAACAAAAAATATGTGTCTTTTTTTCAAAGATAAATATAAATAAATTTATCTAATTATATCTACTATATTCTTTATTACTGCTTTAATATTATAATTGACAATATAACAGAAATCAATTTTATTAATAAAATGAAACCTTCTCTTTATATTAAAATTTTTTATTTGTTAATAAACATTTTTTTTTAGCTCAAAATAAAGCTAGAGTTCTCTAACGTATATTTTTTCTGAGCAAGATCTAATTGTATATAAAGTCAATTAAATTGCTAATTAATAAAAATTAGTTTGTATTCATTTGCTCAGAAAAAATCCGAAAATCTAAAAAAACATATGTTTATATTGAATTGTAAAAATGAATAGCTTGGTGGTTCAGTGAAAAAAATAAATGTACGTGTAAAAAAGCTCCTTCGTGAAAATTAACATATTATTTTCATTAAGATATTACATGTAGAGTCAATTTTATTAATAAAATACATGTATAATAAAATATGAAACTAATTTTCTATATTCTATTTGATACTGTTTTTTCTTTGATAAACACATCGGTTTTTCAACTTTTATTGTGTGAATTCTCTTAATAAATAGCATAATCATTTGTTATCTTTTAGTTTCGGAGAGAGCAGCCAATTCCATCGATAAAATACCCAATAACTCATCAAATTTACTTAAGTCCGGTCGTCGACCATCCAAACGAAATTGCTTGACGTTGGTGATTCCTTGCTGAGCCAAACTTTGCTTCATTTCTCCCTCGTTTGTACCTGTGAGAAAACTAACAAAGAAAACTTGAGCGTGCGGAACGACTTCTTCACGGTACTTTTTGAAGAGAGGTGCAAATCTGTAGCCATTAAATTCCGTGTTTTCTTCTTCGTCAGTAACCACAATAAATATCTATTAAGAGATAATAAAAGTTAATAATAATTTAAAAATTCATACACAGATAGAACCTACGTCTATTGGTTTTCGATCTGCGTAATAAGGATATAATGACGCGGCAGGTGCCGTTGCATTTCTTGCTCGGATTGATTCAGTGACGCTAAGCACTTCATTAGCCGTACGAGGAATAATTGGAGGATTAATCAGGACATTATTGAAGAAGTTCAAATCGGCCTTCAAGCAAACAGACAATAATGATCCAATGATGGTGGCCACTCTAACTGCAACATCCATCGATGCTGAACAATCGCCAAAAATAGCAACTTTATGTTGTTCACTTTCCGGGATTTGGATTGAAGACAATTTTTCGTCAGCATAAGAGATCAATTGGTCGGCGAAGCATGATTGCATTTCACGGAAAGTTAGAATTCTTTCCATCAATTTCGAATAATTGGACCTTCCGTGTACAGAGATCAGAGGTTCGTGATTATTTAATCGAGTTGCGATTTCTTCGTCAGCTGCTGAACACGCGAGTTCTTCGTAATACCAGAGAACATCTTCTAGTGGTGCACGTTGTGCGAGAATTCTTTTATGAGTGTTATTTAACTCAATTTCATTACTCTTAACTTTTTGTCGGATGTAAGAATAGCATTCAGCCAAATAAGGATGTTCAGCTAATACCTTTTCAAGATTCTCACTATTTATATTCACATACGCTGAAATTGAACTATCCGGAGGTATTTCGCCTCCATAAATAATTGGAAGGAAATAGGGCGCTTGAAAATCGGAGGCTTTTAAATGAGCGAGATCCGCCAATTCCTTCCAAGGATCTTTTGCGAAACTCAATATAAAGAAATCCAATTTTTCTGTCGTAAAAGAACCAACCCATTTTTTGACTCTTTTCTGAAATGAACTTGTCAAAGAGCACGGATGCATATCTTGTTTGTAATTATTAATTTCTGATTGTATACGACTTTTCTTTGTTGCCCTTAAGTTGTAATTGTGAGCTTGGAAAAGGTCGAGTTTCTTTTGTAGTTGTCGAGCTTTTCTTGGTGCATCGAGAATTTGACAAAGTTTAAACATTTCAGCCGGAAGTAGGTTTGGAACTATTGCATCGACTTCTTTGAAATTTTTCGTTGCCCATAATGCCACGACCATTCGAGCTTTGGTTGCTGCGGATATGGCGACATTATAATCTGTCAATGAATGAAGAGCTCTAGTGTATGAATCGGCAGAATATTTGTTAATTGTATCAATATGTTGCTGAACTGTTAAATCAGGGTCGAGGATAATATTTCGAACAGTTCTTAATTCGCCAATATTTGTGGAAGCCATCGTTAAAAAAGAAAAAATAGAATTTGAAGTGATTGTAGAGCGCAGAACTTTGGGCTAAAAATTACCACGGAGTCATCGGAGGCAAAATTTACTTTTTAAGGCACCGTATTGTGAAACAATTTGATAATCCAAATCAATTGGCTCGTGAAACAATGGAATGTGTGTAAACTCCCATGTTCAGAAAACAAAGTAGTAAACAGAATATAATATGTCACTTGACCTTCGACGCTTTATCGAACGACTAATTACTTTATACCAGGCACCGAGTGAGTCTCAAGAAGCGCGGTTCTTGCTCATCCTAAAGTCCAATATACCAGTAGGTATGGAACTCTGGCTACAATATAAACGACGTATTGCGTCATTAGAACAAAAACCTTATGAAGAGAAGAAAGTAATAGAAATGTGGGAAGATTCACCAACTTCTTCGTGTGGTATGGACGCGTTTGTGACGCTACTGAACGCTGCCTCGTATAACACGACATTATTTGAATGTTTGGCCGAGGTGGTCACTCCTTCGCGTGAACTAGTCATACGATGGATGGCCCCGTATTTAAGAAGATTCAGTAAATATATTCCAGCGCAGAATATGTGGCTTTGCGATTTACGACGAATGGGACCAGAGTATATGAACAGGGATGTTGGAGAGATGTATCTGCGACAGGGAATCTGTGAGTGTGTTGATGTATTAAGACAATTTAATGGTAGAGAGCAAGTGATTAATGTCGCTTTGGAAATATTAGAGGGGGTGGAAATGCCAATGTACTTGAAGGTTATGTTAAGAGGAATCACTGATGAAGAGACTCCGTGGTGATTATTAATGAACCAATTCTTCAAAGAGGAAACAAAAAAATTCCAATTTATTCATGAGCATTGCGATCTGTTAATTATTTATTGCTTCTTTCCCGTGACAAGTGACGTTTTGTTATTTATTACGACAAATCACAAATAAATAAGGATATCACAATAATGATAATAATAATAATAATAATAATGATAATGATAATGATAATTTTTTGAATCTGACTATTTCAAATTGTAAACAAATTTATAGCCTTTATCTCTATCCAATGATAACGATCATACTGATCCTCTCATATAATCGAAAAATTCGCCAAAGAAATAATTATATCGTCAAATCTCTATTAAACTACCCAATTAAATGGAGAAAATTGGATTGTCGGATCTTATTGTGGTGAATAAACCAATGACCGATCACGTGACCCTTTGCACAGATTCTAACCTTGGCAATAAGCTTTTAAATAGACAGAAACATCTTTTTCTTCAAGGATAGCCAATGCTTCAGCAATGACATCCTCGCGTCCATTAAATTGCCGCAAGATATCCAAGCAATATATCATATCCCTCCTTAAATTTAGTTCTCTCGTGTCTTCTGTCCAATAACCACTTCCCCAAGGATCACACAACCAACTATCCTCTTCAAAATCATATTTGTTATGTCGATGTAAATATGGAGCCATCCAACGCATGACCAATTCTCTTCTCGGCGTCAATATCTCAGCCAAACATTCAAACAATTGAAGATTATACGATACACTTGTCAAAAGAGTAACGAATGCATCCATACCACATGCAGAAGTAGGTGCATCTTCCCAAGTTTTTAACGCAGTAGCTTCATTATATTGTGATGTGGGTGTAGCGGTACGTCTTTTATAAGCAAGCCAGAGTTCCTGACCTGGGAGAATATTTGATTTTAGAATAATGAGGAAATTTCGTTCTTGGTGTTCGTTTGGTGCTTGATATACTTGTACGAATCGTTCTACAAATCGTCGCAGGTCAGACACCATTGGAGTGTTAGTGGGTCTTGAAGCCACAATTGCAAATTTATTTTTATAGAGAATGTGCGGATTCAAAGGGTAAAGGAAATATTGACTAATAACGATAATAAAAAATAAAATTGGATTTTTTTATAAGCTCCCTCATTTACATTATCTCTGTGATCTATTTGTCAGTTTTTGGTAAAATCCGGGTTTGTGCATCAAATACTAATTCAGGTTGCAAAATCCGGCTTTGTATTCTAATACTGGTTAATCGTAGCCCGAGATTGCTATATTTATACTGAATAGCGCAAGTCTTACCCGTTATCGTTCTACGCTTAATTTTATTGGATATTATTACATGCAATTGCCCATGTCCATTAGTGCGTATATATAAAAAAAGGTCTTTTAGAATAGCATTAAAATAATACATGTAAATTTTTTTATATGTCTAATTCAGACACAAGATTGATTCAAGTTCTTTCACTACTTTACTTTCCAATAAATCTCTATTTTCTCTAGTGACTTCAATTACTCTGATAGGTTTATTCACATCATCTTCATGATTCCTCAATCGAAAACCCGCCTTCCTCTTAATAGAGATATCCAACGCGCTACAATCACGTAATGACACTGTACCTAGAACGCAATACATGTACATGTAGTTTCTTTTATCATTTTCTCCAAATATCACTTGTTCCGCCACATGAATAAATTCATCGGAGAAACTTTCCATTTTCCCAATCTCATCAATTACAATTATTCTCTTTGATGGATTTTGTTGATGTGATTCATTTCCAGGCGTAATCGAAGAAATTGCTAAATTTGGCCAATGAGTTGTGTCTACAATGTATTCACCGACGCGGGGCGCATCTTGAGGAATATTATAATTTGGAGGCCAATTTTTTTCTTTTCTGGCAAGAATTTCACGAGATCCTGTTTCTATTGAATTTATTGTAATTAAATCGAACCCGATTCTTTTTCGTGGCGATGACGACGACGGAGAAACCACTTCCTCTGTGTAAAAACCCTGAATAAAGAGTTTTGTTGGTGGATATTTTCTTTGAAGATTATTGACTATTTTTTTAATTAGTGTTGTCTTGCCAGTTCTTGGACTTCCTGTCAAGAAAATTGAAAGAGATGACATTATTTGATGAAATGATAACAATATGGATGATCTTATTATACATGTAGTTTCTTGTGATCAATTAATGCATTAATACATTGTAGAAGTTACATTATTTCGCATTAGTTAAACTATAATCAAAGAATCAATATATATATATATATGCAATATTTGAGTATTTATTCATTACCGCGGCGAATATACTATTATTCTGTTTTAATTAAGGTTTGCTAGTCATGTTGAAAAGTATTGTGAATTGGAAACACAGCTTCACATTCGGGACCATCAAATCACCAGAGATAATTATTAACACTATACATAATAGTATCCAAATAGAATCATACAAATCAATGAAAGCTATCTTGATGTCGAGTGTGTAATTCAAGTAGCTGAATTATATTTTTGCATTCTGGGCATACTTGTTTTTCACGACGGTGAATAGTTGCATCAAACTTCAAATCTGGTGAAGGATTTTCTTGCAAATGACTTAAAACCAGATCACCATATCGGTGTTGTGTGTTTTATTTCGTATCATTTATAAGTTGATTATTTACCAGCCCCAAGGTTTGAACTCCGTGCGAGAAACTCGCTGATCCCCAATATCAGCGTCTTGTGAATAATCACAAACGCTACAGCGCATTTTAAGTTTTCAGAAATAGCGGTCAGTCCTTCCTTGATACGTCTCGGATATTACTCTCGGACGCAAAACGCAGTCGCTTAATGTTAATTTAAATTCTATTTTCTATCTCACCTGTAGCTGTGCACATGATTATAAATTATTATTACTTTGAGTAAAGAAAGATTATTTATTATCTTTATTATGACGTGTCATTTTATTTAAAAGTTATATCGATGATGATGTAACTTATTTATGCGCATGATTCAATTGCTCATATATCATTTTAATAATCATAACTTGATTTTGGTTAACTTATATGTTATAGATACACTTTCTAGCTGACAATTTATGCGAAGAAAGATTATAAGAGATTTACTGAAAAAATAATTAAAGGAAAGGATATGGAAGTAAATAATAGAAGAGATAATATGATTGAAGAAAAGACTTAATAAAAGATTTAGAGAATAACTGAAATCAAAATATTTGCTTATTTATAGTTGCGATGCATACTTTAACAAAATAACTTTAAATTTGTGATGTATATTAATAAAATAGCAAGAATCAAATATACTCTTCTTTAGATTAATAAGAAAAACTTATATATAACAATTCAATAAGGAATTTTAGATAATATGTATAGTAATAATCAAAAATAATGCAATGCCTGAATTTAATTACATACTGTATAAAATAATTAATTTTTATTAATTATTAATTAGTAAAAATTAGTTAATTTTAGAGTAAATCTCTTAGAAAAAATCTGAAAGAAATTTATGTTAAAATAAAAATTTCTAGATTTATTTTAAGTTAAAAATAAAATATATTTATTAAAAAATTTAAAACTTCTATATATAATTAAAAATATATATTTTATTAATTATAATTAGTAAAAAATTCAAATATTATATTGATTACTGTAATTTATTATAATTTTCAAGATTATAAAATTTATATTATATAATATTTAATTTTTATAAAATATATTTATAAAATTTTAAAATAATTATTATTAAATAATTTTTTATTTTTATCATTTATATAAATCAGTACAAAAAGATTTGTATCTTAATATAAAAATCAATAATTGCTTCTAATTAAAATCATTTAAATTGTAACTAATCTTTATAATTTTTTTATATTAAATAAAAATAATTTAAATTAACTTTTTATATCATTTTAATTATTCTATTATATTTTAATTCAATAATAAATGAATTATTACTTTACTAAAAAAAAGATATTTTAAATATTATTACTATAATTTATAATATTAAAACTTTAAATTATACAAGTAGTTATCTTAAATTTGATAAATATATATTCTAAATTCATAAAAATTAAATTAGTAATTATGAAGAAAATTAAGAATTTAAATTATTTACTATATAATTTTTATATTAATTTTAATCAAATTTTATATAGTAAAATTTAAGAAATAATAATTTTTATATTTAATAAATTTTAATATTTAATAACTTAATTAAATAAGATAAAATATAAATTTTATTTAAAATAAGCTATTAATATTTATTTGAGATACAAATCTTTTTGTATTAATTTATATATATTTTAATATATATAGTAGCAATCAAAAATAATGCAACACTTAAATTTTTTACTAATTATAATTAGTAAAAAATTTAAGTGTTGCATTATTTTTGATTGTTACTGTAGTAATTCTTATAATTATAAAAATAAAATATTAATTTTATTAATAAAATATATTAAAAATTGAAATTTTTTATATTAAAATTTAAATTTTAGTAAATAATAATTATAATAATTTTAATTGGATTATATTCTTTAGTATTAGATCTTTATTTTATATTATTTATATTACAAATTATCTTTTATATTATATTTTATAAAAATTAATTTTATTTTAAATATACAAATATTTATTATATATTAAATTAATTAGATTTATATATATTATTATATAAATAATCATTATATATTTCATAATTTCAAATTTAGATTATTAATATTTTTAATTAAATCTTATTATTAAAATTTTTTTATATTTTTATTTATTTTTTTATTATTATTATTTATCTTATTATTAATTATTAAATTATAATTAGTTATTTTCTGAAATATAAATTATATTTAATTTATATATATTTTATATTAATAATTATTATTAATTTATTTATATTTCATATTTATTCTTTATATTCTTTTTATTTTATATTTTATTATAGATTTGAATATTATCAAATAATAAAATTATAAATTTATAAATTAAATTATTCACTTTATATTTTATTTTATTTATAATTATTAATAAATAATCTTATAATTTAATATTAATAGATATAATTATTATAAATATATCTTATATTATATTATATATATTATATATATATCTTAATTTTAGTATTAAAATTTAAAAAAGATTAATTCATATAATTTATATAAGATATAACTAAACTTATAAAAATAATAAAAGATAATAATTTTTTTAACTTAAAATTCTTATTTTATCTTTTAATAAAATTATTTATTTACTTAAAAAAGTTAATAAAAAATATACTTATTTGAATAATATAAGTTAAAATAATATTTCAATTCAAGAAATTACTAAAAAGAAAATTTAAATATAATATATTATTATCTTTCTAACTAATATAACTCTTTACTAATATCTTAATAAATATAAAGTTATAAATAATAATATACTATTTAACTAATAAAAAGATTTTATTATAATATTTAGAAAAGTCTTTTAATTATTATATTATAATAATATCTTTATTATTAATTATATTTTTTTATCAAATTGAATTTATATAAAATTATAATATAAAATTTAGAAATATAATTAAATAAATTATAAATATAAATAATTTAAATTAAGTTAGTTATTTTATAAAAGATTTAAAATTTATTATTAAAATAAAAATTAGTTATCAAATATTAGAAAACTTAGAAAATATTTAAAAATTAGTATAGTTATATATAAATAAGATAAATTTTTAGATATATAAAATAGAAATAATAATAATTATTCTTTATAATTTTAAATAGAAGTAATTAGAATAATAATTATATTAATAGAATTAAATTAAACAAAAAGTATTATAATAAGAAAAATAATTAGCAAAAAAATAATAAGTTTAAAAATATATATTATAATTATAAAAACTTTGATTATTTTATAAAAAACTATTATTCAAAACTAAAAATCAAGATAATATATATTAAAAATTTATAAAAAAATTATCATATCAAAATAAAAGAATAAAATTTATTTATTTAAAGATAATTATAAAAGATTACTTAAATTTAATAGTCAAGTTAATAGTAAATTGATTTGAATATTACTTAATAGTGAAGTATTTAGAAATTTTATAAATAAAAGCTTTATATAGAAAAATAAAAATAAAATATAAAAGATTAACTTTATTATAGTTAAATAATAGATAAAAAGAAATTTACAATTATTGTTATAATCAAGATTGATAAATAAATATTAGATATATATTATATTTATAAAATAGATATTTAAGTTTTAAAATTATAAAAATATAATTAATTTTTGAAAAATTCTGATTATTTCATATTAAGTTTATCAAAAATTAGAGAAATAATACTATTATATTTATTTATAAATCAAAAAACTATTAAAGTATAAATTAATAATAAAGTAAAGTTAGAATTTAGTTATAATTTAATTTATATCTTCAGATAGTAAATTATAAATTTATTAGTAAATATAAAACTTTTTATAATATCTTAATAATACTAAAGATAAAAAAGAAATTAAAGAAATATTATTAATATTTAAAATATTAGAAATTAGAAAGAAATATAAAAATATTATTACTATAATAACATAAAATTTCTTAATTTTCTAATTTTTTCTTGATTATATAAAATTATATTTTCTTATAATTTTTATTTATTTTATAAATATTCTTATTTTTATATTATATATTATTATATTTATTA